CTTACCACAATTATCTTCCATCAATAACCTTAGTGAGGGCCATTTAAAGGGTTCCACTGCTGAGTGCGGACTGCATTCCAAAGCAAGACGCTTTAGGAGAACATAGTGCATGAATTTTAGGCTGCTTCAGCGGCTATCCTAACAGGCTTCACTATTCCTGTGTAGGTTATGGACGTACCAGTCCGTTCGCTGGCCCAGGCCGGCTCTCCCCCTTCTGTGATGCGGAGGAGGGGGGGGCGCTGCTGCTGCTTCTTCGTCTTGACGGAACGAGCGTTGCTTTTCAGTTCTTGGCTGATGCAGAAGATTCCTTTGAGCAGTGTCAACGATCCGTAACTTAGCACGCGGCAAATCCGCATGGCCCGGCTTCGCCGGGCCATGTCACAGAAGGAGGAGCGCCCGGCGACAGCTGGGCGATCCGACTGGATGTATGATATGATATTGACTGTTACCTCGCCTAAGGAAAGAGCGCCTGGCGAAGCCATGCCGGCCCGGCGAAGCCGGGCGTGACAAAGAAGGAGGAGCTTATAGTGAATACCAGTCGGATCACCCGGCGGCAGCCGGGTGATCCGACTGGTATTCACTATAAGCTTCTGGGTACTTTCACGAAAACGCACGGTGCTGAATGATTTATTTTCGAAAAACAATCAGCTCATGAGAAGACGAATGCTTTCGAGGAGAAAACGCATCGTTTGCGTAAATAGACACTACTAGAATAACAAGTCGAATAGAATTCCCTTTGCAGAACTTAACTGAGAGAGTAGCAACGTCAGAGGGACATAGCGATATGTTACATTTAAATAGGGAACTGTTGAATGAGCACTATGCATGGGCATACCAATTAACCGTAGTTATTCATCAATAACTTTCTATGACCAGCTTGATATATATGTGCAAGCAGTAGAATAGAAACTGTACACAGAAAACGGCACAGGAGAAGGGGAACACTTCAAAGTTGTCCAAATGCAATTCCCCTAAAGTTCAAAGGCGGCGGATAGAAAAATTTGGGCTAGGTGTGTAAGGTCAACACGCAAAAAAGGAATCGAGGCTCTCAAAGACATACTTTACACTGGCCTCCGAGGATGCTGGGTTATGTGAGAGTTGAGCGGCCGCAGCAACGTCCGCTCAAAAAGGCACGGGAACGGGGCTCTAGGGTAAGTGATATTGTAGTGGCCCTCCCGCGGCGCACCACGTCCAGTCACATCTCTAACCGTAGCCAAGGGCGCTACTTGTCAGACCTGCTCACGTCTGTTTGTTGTCTACCTTTGACTGAGCGTTCACTCTGAAATTCTGGTACCGGAGCGAGTGCTGACTTTTCTGAACAGCGCAGGTGTGTTTCCAGACGGCACCCCGGCATCACTGAGGAGCGTCATTCGCGCGCTCTCAAAAGATCAAAGTGTTGCACTCATACCTGGCGACCCTCTTCCTCGCCTATGGCGAAGGAAAGCCATATGCGCCCTCGAAAGAGAGTGCACACTTTGTCATCGAGTAGGCAAAGTGTGGCGTATTCAAGATAGTGCTCCGTCCCATTATGCCAGAAGAATTCGTCTCTTGTACAAAAATGGACAGCGCGTAGCTGGCTCGTCTGCGATGGTGATACGGTTGCAGCTATCTCGCCCACAGCTCAAAATTAGTTGGAACATTAAGGGCGAAATTCCTGGTTTCGATCAATTGCTCGCGATCTTTATCATTCTTTATCACTCAGCACTTCGCTTTCACTTCTACTCTCACTTCAGACCGACAGATGGCAACCAGTTAGCCTACCCACTGCCTTTGAGAGGGGTGATTTGATAACATACAATAGCATGAAATGCAACGAGTGTACTTTTTACATAACCAGGAACGATACAAGCAGTAATAATAGAGAAGAGTACACCGCTGTAGCAATAGAATTGTAGTGTGGCTTAGGTAGTGTCGTCGGTTCCACGAATTCTGATCGCTTGCCAACTTCTTTGAAGATGTTCACAAGAGCTCCGACGAAATTTCCTTGAAAGAATAGCATTAGGAGCCGGGTCCACTTTTGTCCAAACAGAGCATGCCCTCGCCCTCCTTTATCGCGATACCCTTTCCCTCCTTTGTCGCCTAATTGCATCAAACTTGTCCGGGACGACAACATTTGTGCAGTCGCGGAAAAAAAATTGGAACAAGTGAAAAGCCATTTTCATCTGTTCTAAGCTATGTAATCTCTTCTTATACATCAGTATTAGGGTTAGAAGCTAAGAATACAACGTTATAATGTAATAATATTAAAATTGCGTTGAGCGGGGATAGTGTAGTGGCAAGTGGAGCCACTTTCCATAAGCAAGGTCTGGGTTCAAAGCCCGGATCTGCTCCCGCCTGAACCAGTCGAGTTTTTCGTGCCTGTGGGAAAGCTACATAGTAGTAGACTTGCCTAAAAAGTTTAAAAAAAGTCGACTCCCACATTGGCAGCCCTCGACTGGGCCGCCCTCCCCCCCCCCCTTCCTCGAAGTGCCTCATCGCTGCGATCTTCAAAATTCTATCCCTGCAACAAGTTAAATCAACCAACTCTCTTCTTTAGAGTAGCTTTCGGAGTACTTGTTTTGAGCAAAGATCATTTTTACACACAGTTTAAAACCTTAGGTGAAGCTATTGAAAAGCGCCCAGCTTGGGCTTGTTCCAATGTTTTCCGCGACTGTACATAGGCTGGAGACCTCCAGTCGTTCTGTAGAAATTGTGGTCAAAATGTTACTAAAATCACACTGAAAATAGAACGCGTGTTCCCCAACAACGAGTGATCATTCCTGATGGCCTTGGCGTCAACTCCTTTCATAGAAGAGAAAAAATAATGATTGGCACAACACTCGATTCTTACTGGATTCACATCTCATGCACATCGTTAGAGGATAATTGCATCAATTATTTACCAGGACTATAAAAAACGAACCTGTTTGGAGTTGCATCTCATTTGTATCGATTATCGATTGCAGTTCATCAGAATCTGAAAGAGTAAAATGCTGAGTCTCACCTCACTGAATGAACATCTTGTAATGGAAGGAGAATAGAATCGAAGGACCACCAATAAGCTTGGAGCCTCTGCCCCCATTTAACAACAATGGACGAAATCGCAGAAGAATTAATGTATCGAAACGATTTTGTATTAAAAGTAACAACCTGTGCCTACAATTCCAAGTGTTTGGCATGTTACAAAACCTAGAGCGAATCAACTACTCCGATACCAAAGAAGTAATTGAAAAAACCTGGTTGTAGACTTCGAGAGGTCAACGAAAAGCTCTACTAACGCAAGTACCCCCCCCCCTTCTCGTCAAGGCTGCTGAACAAATCTGTGTTGTTATCGGATGCTGAACTATGGGCAAAAGTCTGACCCCAAGCGGGACCGAACCCGCACCTCATGCCTTCTGGGCGCTATCCGTTATGCCACTGAGCTGATAGGGCAAGAGCTTCGCTCGCGGCGTAACGGATAGCGCACTCGCCCGGAAAGCGTGAGGTGCGGGTTCGAGCCCCGCCCAGGGTCATTTGCGCTCAGGTAATTCGTGGTCTTCCCTCCTTGTGCAAGTAGTCCAGACCCCAGCTAACAATAAGAAACTGTACCACTTGCGCGACTCCACAGCGAGCGAGGGGACGCTACAGCCGCTGAAAGTTCTAGTTCTAACACCCGCTCAGTTGGCTTGCTAGATGTCCTCTCCACATCTGACGCAGGGCCATCTCAATTGTTCGTTGTTGGGCATTAATCGGAGCTGCATGTCCATTTTTGCTGACCGCGCTCGCGCCCATGCTCTGCTCTCCTTTATTACATTTTATTCATTGGGAGCACATACAGTCAACTGCAACCCATCTCGCAAGGTAAAACGCGTTAAAATCATCAGTGATGCAATTTTTGGTGCAAAAGCTCGACTGCACTAAAAGATGCACGCTACCGTGGTGCTTTTTTTCCTTCATTGGGGGATTACTTATCAGCTACTGGTTCATAATTGAGCAGTAACTATCCATGGCCCTTAGTCGCGGGGACTGTCTTTAAGCCTCGCCCCTGTAACCACGCTACCACGCTAAATTCGACGCACGGTGTCGCAAGTAATTTCACATGCGCATGCCCAACACTAGTACCAAGAAGCTAAATTATCCGAGACGACGAGTGCTGCATCCTACTTTCCAGAGAGGAGAACCTTGCGATTTTCCCACCTATTGAATAACGTCCACGCTAGGAATACAAAATGAAATACTCAGTAGAAGCCACTGACTGACAGCGTCTTAGGCTGAGCAGCGAAGTATAAGCGTCGATCATCGGAGCTCAAGAGGAACACGACGCCCTTCTTGCATTGATCATCCATGTGCCACAACCGACTGAGGTCATTCACAAGTTGCTGTGAGCCCTGTATGAAACTTATAGAAAAACGGAACTCCTAGCATAATGAGACGATATGAGGTCAAGCCGATAACGTCGAACTTCGAAAAAAACTTCCAGCAAAATTACTCAAAGTCCGAAACTTGCTGAGGTGAATTCACCATCCACTTTGGTGGTCTCCGCGCATCTTACCAGTGGTGTCACTGTAAGCTTTACATTGATTTCTGCAATTACCTCACCTGTCGGACTATCGCCAGCACGGCATCGGAGCCTTTTCGATCACAGAACGCGCTGCCGGTTCTCTCAGTTCTTACACCGATTCGTTGAAGCTCATTGTTAAGACGATATCGCGCATCCATACTGAGAACCTTGCCAAGAACGCGTATTTTCCGAAACATCGCAGAAACAAAAGTCCATCGTCAATGGATCTGCCCCTTCGTGATATGTTTACTGCTCTTAACTCTTCATTTCAAGTTGTTCATTAGTCTGCTGTTGCTTCGGACACTTATTCATAATCTTCTAGGAAGGAGCAGAACCACATAAGACTACGATCATTGACAACTTTACATTCCCCGATGAAACAATAACCTTCCCTTACTACGGCCTCTGGAAGTGTTGGTGAACCAATACGTTGTAATTGCGTCTCAGGGCACTTGTCAACCGGGAAGTCTCTCTTCTCTTTCCTTTTTTCTTCCCCCTTCCTTCTTTTCCTTCCTTCCTTCTCTGGTCCCTCCTCCTTTCCCTTCTCCCTTCAGCTACTGGTTTGGTAGACGCCTCGATAAAAAAACCCATGGGACCCCCCCTCGCCAAGCGAGTGCACACTCTGGTTGACATGTGCCCCGTAATCTTGGTATCTGGACCTAGCTCCTCCCCAGCTCTGCCGCGAATTGCAATGCAAAGCACGCACTGCCATTCCTGTTTGTTCAGACTAGACCAGAGTCAAGCATCAATCATCAATCAAATATATCGCGGAAAATTGAGTCTTGTACAACTCCCTATCCCTCCCCCCCCACACACACACATTATGCGAAGCAAATGAAAAAATAACGCGGAAGAAATTTGTTGCGAACGTGAGTTTTTTCTTTCCGTTCAAATTCCACAACGCCTTCACAATTAACGCGGGAGTGAAACCTACAGCCGAAAACGAGAGGCTTCTATTTCCAATGAGGACAACATCTTTGTAGATCAACTAGAACAAAAATTTCGCCCGCCGTGGAATTCGCTCTAAAAGTCAGCTTCAGCTGTAATATGGTGACCCCCCTATAATGCTATTATTATCATCTGAAAAGCTTGCTAGGTCAGCGTACACCAATCTCCTCATGTGATGTATAGGAAGTGCACCACAGATGAGCTGACCAACACCTCCATGTTAGGCGCCATGCACTCGCCTTCCTTTCCCAACGTATCAGCCATCCTCTAGCTACACCGCTGCTGTGTTAAAGTACCGATCTCTGTTAAGTATCGATCTCAGCAAATACGACCCCCCCCCATTCGAAGTCGTATTTGCCGAGGTTACATCTCCCGTGGCGATTTCTGCGACATATCTTGAAACTTTGCTCTATAAACCGTTCATCCTCAGCCCCACAGCTTTTTCCGTCTTTCACGATCGTCACAATTATACAGCGATTCACCAGTTACTAGAGCTCCATCCTGAACCCACAGTTTTGCCATATGGAAGACACAAACTCGACAATACTAGCCACTTATCACTCTTTTTATAGTGTGTGTCGCTTGTGATGAAATTGCAGTCAAACACCGCAATTTATTTCTCTGTCGAATTAACATTCAAATTTCCTCAAATTTTCCAAATTGCCACTCTAAAATTTTTCCTCCTCGTTGTAAATTTGGTTGAGAAATGAGTTTGTAGGTTTTTGTTTTTTTTTCTTCTTTCACAACCACTGTTGTTTTTTCATCCGAATTACACAACTTCAACTTATAACCAATCCTCGATCGAGCCTCTATCCCGTTTTGCATGGTTACCTTGAAACATGTGGTTTCTTAAATTATATTCCAGCGCTGCAACCATATCCCAACCGGGTAACAACGCGCTGTTTCTGGACACCCTGATCTTCCCTGTATTCATCAAAGCCAACGACGCTGTTCGATCTGAGCAAGCGACAGTCAATCGTTGGGAAGCGCTTGCGTTTATACTTTGCGCAGCTAGCGCAGCGTAGCGTAGCGCTTCCAGCGTACGCCAGCGGCAGTGCCGGGGAGAGGATGCATATCGATCTAGCGTTCCCAGCGTCACCAGCGTCACGCTAGCGTACGCTAGCGTACGCTAGCGTACGCCAGCGTTTCTCCAGCGTTTCACCAGCGTTTGGCTCTAGCGTTTGCAGCGGCAGGGGAGTAGAGACTATGTGGCCGTAAGAGACGCGGAATCGACGTGTATTGTAGAGACTATGTGGCCGTCAGAGACGCAGAATCGATGTGTATTGTAGAGACTGAGGGCGAGTGAGAGACGCGCAATCGATGTGTTTTGTACCCTCCAGCTCTCCCATAGTCTCTACTCCCCTGCCGCTGCAAACGCTAGCAAAACGCTGGTGAAACGCTGGAGAAACGCTGGCGTAACGCTAGCGTACGCTAGCGTGACGCTGGAAGACGGGAAGCGCAGAGTCGCATATCATCCTCGCCCAGCACGCCGGTTTTTGTTTTTTATGATTTTTTTGGTTTTTTTTTTATTATTTTTTTTATGGCGGTTACCGCTGGAAAGCGCTACGCTGCGCCTGTCGCTACGCTGCCGCAAAGTATAAACGCAGCCGAAAGGAGCTGTTGCCACGCTAGTACCACCCCTTCTAAGACGCTCTTCCATCGGTTGTGAGCCAATCCTTTTTCTCGCCTTTTCTCGTACATCGGTTCTGTTACTACCGTAGAGAAATAGTGCAGCGAGCACAATGGTTAGTCCTTATTTGTTGTTCTTTCTGCTCAATGCTTTTTTTCTAAATCTCAGCGCTAAACAGACCTGGTCTGGATCACAGACACTGCTTGCTGATTTCATATTGCACTGTTTGTAACCGCCTTTTCGTGGATTCGGATACTGTGACGCGTCCCACTGCTGTGCCACAGTCACTGCTACCATTGATAGGAGAACCAGCCACATTCTAGAACTCTTCACTCAAGTATACTTGCGTGTGAATAAACAATAACGGACAAAAAGGACAAATGACTCGCTGAAAACGACTCAGGACGAGCATAAAGGCAGGCATGTGCAAAAGGAGCTAAACTTGTCGTTAAGATCGTGATGAGGACTCACATAGATGGGAAAAGACAATAGAAATAATTAGACAATAATATCTTTGGAGCATGCTTTCATTTGGGTAAATAAAGTGAACGAATTGGTAGATGAAACGTGAGACTCGAGAATCCGGAGCTACAACCGATCGTTCTTCTCAATGAAGAAAACCGTCGATATTACACACTCTCTCGCGATTGATTCGAAGTCGCGATAAATAAACAAAACGAGAAGGTCGAGAAAGGAGGTCATTTCAAATTTCTTCCACACAGAAATTACGAGGCACGGTCCGCCATCAGGTATAGAAGGTGAAACTAAGGCGTCGGGAGGGTAGCGTGGTCCATGACCACCAAACTTGCACTGGTCTCGCAGCAAAAAATTGTAAGGGAGGGCGATGCTATAGCGCAATATAGGTGTTCAGTGACGCCTCCTTTTTTCCAGTGACTCCGCCTCCAGACTCCGCCTTAAGGCCCGCTTTTCAGCAAAAACGGAGCTGCAGGACGAAAAAGCATGAAAATCGTTACTTGTACGGTCGTAGAGTTCTTATCAGGGAATCAGCTGTGCGGATGGGGCGTAGTGTTGGAGATGGAGTTAATTGGGCACGTAACTGGGATCGGAATGGGGTTCTATCTAGGGCAGTTGGCATGTTTTTTTCTGCTTTTTTTTTCTTCACTATCGAGTTACTCAGCACCTTGTCGTCTATATGCAAACCCCTAATCCACTATCTGTGATGGCGAATGATCGCGGACTTTGCCTTCAAAACCTGTAGAAAAATATACTGTGAGCTATCTTACGACTGCTATAGCGGCAGCCGTAACTTTTTTCTGAAAGGATTTTCTACGATTGTACAAAGCTCCTACAGTATTCACCCTCAGTTGCTCCACTCAATCTTTGAGCACTCCCTGAGCCATCACGCTTGGTAAGGCTGAATGACTATTCAGCCTTACCAAGCGTGATGGCTCAGA